TCATGAGTCGAACTCAAACCCTATCTAGGATCGAGTCGCGAATAAGGCTAAGAGCCGTGTATTGCAATAGGGCTCGCAAAATACGTCCGCGGTATCTCATGCACTATGGACTCAACTCCAGTTTAGTCCTGTTGATACTGCAATGCATGACAAATTCACCATGGGAATTGGGCATAGCCAAGAAAGGCCGTGCTATTTGCTGGGTCAACATTCACACCAGCTGTCAGAATACTAGTGACCGCTCAATCATTCTTTTTCGTCTTCTTTTTTGTCCTCCTCAACTCTGTCAAAATCGCGCTTCAAGTTAGTTCTTACACGTCGCAGGAAGAGTCTCTTTCTCTTCCTGGGTACCGGAGGCTGTGTCAAGGGACCTTCATCACCACTGATTCCACCATTGCCCAAAGGGCTGACCGGTCCTTCGTTGATGCTACTCAGGTTGACCACAGATCCGCTCATGTCATCATCATCCGGTCCCGCTTCGTTGTCTTCTGGTTCATCCTCTTTTTTGTGTTCCTTCTCATACTGTCGCATAGTCTGCCACGGACCCCTGGCAAGACATCCTTCTCCAAAGCAAAACTGGAATCTACGCCTGACAATCTCGGGCGTCCAGATCCCTCCACTCTTTTGATTTGCTTCGCACAAATCAGCAAGAAGATCCCTCTTGTTGATGGCCTTGTTGAAGGTCATGAAAATGGCATCCTTGTTTGTCTTGACCAGCATTCGAGAACTGGGGCTTCCATGGGTCCATCTTTTGGTCTCTATTATTCAACAACACAAGTGTCAGATAGCACAGAATCAGTACTGAAAAATGATACACGACAATACATACCCGAATCGCAACTAGCCCAACCATATGGAGAGTCGGGAAAGGGGAATCCATCATACGCGGTGAAGCTGGGACCATTGCACCAACTGGCGAACCAGTGGAGAACTGTCAGTCCACCCAAAGTACAGAACAACCAATCAAAAAGGGGGTCCTTCCATCCACAGACTTTTCGAAGGGTTTCTAGTTCGTACGAGTCTGGTCAAGATTATCCCACAAGACCAAACTGCAACAGTGAAAGCTTGAGTCATCGCGTTCTCTAGCGTCTTGTTCCACCACCAGAATCTCTTGTCCAGCTTCAACAATGGCACGTTCAGCAGCCCGACCACGCAAATAGGCCTCCCTTGCATCACGTTCAGCAGCGCGACGACGCACAAAGTCTTCCAGTCTTCCAGCTGTTCGCATCATGATGTCACAATCAACAGAAATCTGATTTGTGACCTCACCAGTTGTGCCAAGGAGTGAACGAAATGCATGAATTTTGCCGGCTACGGGGTCAACCAAATCAACAATCAACCTTTTTTCAAGTGAATCGAAGGAATCATTGGCATTCGGTCATTCGAAAATAATGCAAAATTTGGATGCATGCCAATACGTTTCCTCTCAAACCATTTTGGGATGGCGGAGTTGTTGCCTTACCAGCCATCGGATGATCCTTTGCATTTACAATTCCATTCGGTATGTCGTATGGAAATTCGTTCGGACAAATTGAGTGTTACGCCTCGACAACAGGATTTTTTCTACGTAGCTAGCTAGAATTACGTAATGCGTGCATAGATCGGCTATTATGTTACACGATATTGTCAATGTCGAATTTGTCCAAGAAACCATCATCGTCATAGTCTTTAAAGGAGTCCATTGCTTCCAGCACATCGAAAGACGCTTCCGACAAATCGCCCAAATCCGCGGGATCAACTTTATCCCCTGTACCAACACATTTCACGCGATAAGCGACTGGATCCTTGTAAAACTCATCCACCAGCACAGCGATCAATTTGTCTTTTGTAACCTTGCCATCGTCAAGACAATCCTTCAAGATTCCCAAATAACGGGCTGTGTCTCTCAGAAGTGAAAGCATTACAGTTCCTCCCACGACTCAGAGTATCCGTGAGTAGATCGAGTCATGCTTTATGAGTCAACACGATGGAACAGAGAACGCTGGCAAGGACACGTTCTCAACGAAACCAAAGGACATGGTAAAATGGAGTATTCGACAGGAGTAAAGCATCCTGCCAACGAACCGTTTCCCGCAGATACCACGTTGACTTCCGTATGAATCAAGATCAACCACCACGATGCATTGATCTAACACGCTATGAACTAGCTTTACTGATCGCATCAATCAAAGCTCACAACACAGATTATGAATTACTAAGAAGCGAACTTTGCATTTACCTTGCACTCGTCTTGAATAGTTGCAGTTGATCTCGTTGGGTGGTAGCTACCTCTACAAGATCCCTCTATTCAAGTAGTATTTCCTCACGTTAGCAGATTAACTAGTCACAGTTACGCACTGCTACACCTCCATCAAGATGGCCGATGAACCAGCCAGGCTCAAGCATGTCCTATGCAACCTATGCGGCGAAGACGCTTCCAACACAGGGTACAATGCATCTCACATGCGCATCGCACTGTCTGAACAAGGAATTGATGGATGGATGGATCTCCTACTTCTCACCAAAGATGAAGTTATGGATCTCCAAGCTTCCAACGACACCAACGGGGCTCCAAGACCAGTACCTCTCACCAGGAAGAAGCTACTGCTCGCGGGGATACAGATGTATCACCATTGGTCGTTCAAGAAGAAAGCACCCGTCCGCATCGTATCACTGATGGCCACCGCGCTCGATGCTTTCAGAGTTGGACTCTTCCAGCCACACGGCGAAATCGTCCCATGGCAGCAAATGAGACGTAGCGATGCCACGATGACCGATGGGGAGCGTGCAATCGCACTTTGGGACAAGAACAACAAGCCCGTCGGCTCCTCGGAGTTCAGAGAGTTTCGCGACGAATCAGCCTTCATCAAATGGAGGAAGAACTTCCTCAACACGCTCAAATCTCAAGGTCTCTCCCACCTCATTGATTCTGACTTCACCGTCACCAACGTCGAACTAGACGAGAAACAACGAGAATGGATGTACAAGACCTTCGAAGACATCTTCCAAGAAGCACAGGCGCGATCTGTCGTTCTTGCCAACGAAACCGACAAGGACACTCCTGTGATCTGGAAGGCAATTGACGAATATTACTCCAAGTCCATGGTCGCAACCCTGCGCTCGGATAAGATCTCGTGTTATCTCACCTCCGCAGATATCGCAGAAGGTGTATGGAGAGGGTCCCAAGCCGGTTTCATCTCCAACTTTCCTCGAACAGTTTCGGCAGTACAATGAGATCAGGACGAGCCATACACTGACCAGCAGGGAGCACGTTTCTTGGAACGCTCAATCTCCAAGGCACAAATCTCGCCCCTGTACGACGCTCGCAATGCAACAAGAAAGCTGCAGGCGACACCTCCAGTATACACTCAGCAATACCGAGCAGCCCTTCTCGAGCAAGCACAACTGCATGACAGTGCAAATCATGCGACGTCCACACGCTCTTGAAGCAATGCTCGTCGCCGCACCTACCAACACAAAATTTCTTCGACGATGATACAGCGGAAACCTGTGACACCTATGAGGCGTTCGTCCACGATATGGATACACCGGGAGTCCTATTGAAGCCATCGACAGACATCGTGGTCCGCGCAAGTCATGATGAACGCAACCACATGGCGGTCGTTATCCAAGTCGGATCAAGAGGCATGGGATAATATCTCGAGAGGGCAAGAAGAGCATCCTTGACTACACGGCTGACTTAGCTACTTTTTCAAGGGAACCGAAAACCGAAGCGCTCCCCTCGGATCTGTCACTACAAGAACAAACACACTAATAGCAACAAAACACAACCAATCGTCATACCTATACCATTACACTACCTATTAGCACCATTGAAGCATTGAAACGAAGCGAAAGACCTCAGGAAGCCTGTTTTCTGTTATCTTGTTGAAGATACTGTTTTACTATAGGATTCAACTCAACGTCATCACGGAAAACATACATCCTTTTTCCTCCCTTTACAACTTTCAAGCGAAAAGGATCGATACTCCTATCTCCTATCAAGCGCACCTCCCCATCAAGCGACTCATCAACGGGCGTTCTCCGGTTCCAGATTAGAAAGCCATCCCAATTTGAAATCCTACAGAGCGGGGTTTTCTATTCTCGACCGCCGACGGCCAAGTTGGAGAATTGAACACAAGAAGAATCCCGGCCTTCCACAGCAAGTACAGAAAACAATTCCCATACGTATTTGTTGCTTCTGAACTAAGCTCCTGACGGCCGAAGAAATCCCATTGTCGGCCGATCTCTTCTTCGAACGATCGCTCTCCTCTTCACCAACAACAAGGTCGGTTAACCTACCCTAAGGCGAGACTCATCGAACGCGAATCCGAATCGGAATCGAATCGAATTACGATTCGAATCCAAGACTCGCTACTCCGGAATCGATTCCCGCGAATCCTCCCCGAACGTACCTCTTCCTCCCATACGTACCTCTTCCTCGTGAACGATAGCCTCTCATCAAGAAGGACTTCACGAGATACTGCAGTGACCACCGAGAAAAGAATTACACCTGTATTCTTACTTCTCACCGGCCACTAGTGGTTTCTCCCGACGCCTTGTTGGAACTGATACTACTGATCCAACAGTCCTATCCCTATCAGACTGATTGACTGATCAACACCTGCTACGTTACCACCCTCCATTGATATTAACTCCTCTCCAGAGGAACAACAAACAACAACAGAGTTCCTGTAAGGACTTGAGTCTTGTATCTCCAGCTTGGCTGATTATTCGAGTTTCCACAGCCCCCCCTGAGATACCCAGCTCCCCTCCAAAGGATCCTACCCCCACAAGAACAACTACAAAAGCTTCCCCTCTAGCGTGTTTGGCTAGATTGTGCAACACTTCAATGACACAGCCACCTCTCTCTACTGCACCTGACTCCTACTGAGTGTGACTCCAAAGATTGAGCCCAGACAGAACTGCAGCGTGGTGTGGCATAGATTAATACATAACTGACTCTATCTCTCTCTCATTATTGTTGAGTGACTCTCCAGTGACTTTCCACATCCACCTGAATCGAGTACCCTCTCCACATCTGGCTTGACTCTCTTTGCATTTGCATCCCTACAACAGATTAGTACCAGCCTTGAGACAACACAGTGTCATCAGAAACAAGCCCCATCAACCAACAACACCCCTTGATCCCCACCACTCCTCTACTGGCTATAGCTGACTTCTCCAGTTTTCCCTGAAAGAATCCCTAAAGCCTTTGGCTCTGATACATATTTCTCCTCAGGTAGTGGTATACCTACCAGACTTGGCCACAGCCTTGATCCAGTGCAACAAAAACCCAACAACTTGATATAAACCTGATACCAGTGCCTCAGTGCATTGCCCCTTGAATACACCCTTCTACATCATCATCTCGCCACCTCACAAGCACCTCCATTGCTTGCGTTAAGCAACGACACTACAGTAACACTCCAGGATACACATCTCTCCACCAACCCACCTACCACCCACATGACTTCCCCAGTCTACCCACACTTCACTCAAAACCAAGGTCCTTCCAGACACCCCCCACTCCCACACTTCACCCAACCAACCACATCCATCATCCCCCGCAGATTATCCAACACCACTCCCAGATGATCAGCCAACAGCTCCTAGAGCATGCAGCCATCTTGAGACACACCCTTCCGAATCACACCCTACCCTATCAGGGAGAATGCCTTTGTTCTCACCCTTGAAACAGGCACGCCTCTACTTACAACACACCATCAACCATGCTACATACCCAACTCCTACAACAACACTCCAACCCAACAGATTCCCTCCTGCCCCTGGCCAGCCCACTTCCAGTGCCCCTTATCCTCCTTCTATTGACTCAACAACCCTCGAACAGCCCACAACACTCCAGCAGCCACTGTGCCTCCCTACTGGGAACCACACACTGCCAGTGTGTCATTTGACCCCATCTTTTGCCTGCTTGTTGGCCTCATCTAACAATTTTTGTGCATTGGATGGGTTACACCCTGCTCTGGTCCAGCTGAGGATACCACCTCCTACGGGCTCTGCTGGCATCTTGCCTTGCATGCCAAGCCCTTGCCACAGCTTGGGACCTGATCACCCAGACACACTTTCTGGCGAGCACTCTTTGGTCTTGCAATCTAACTGTCCTCACGGTCCCTTTGGTGATAATGTTTCAATACCGACAAAAATCCTGTGTAAGCCCTGTAACCCAGGTTTTGCGCTGCAGGTTCCCTATCAATGTGCTCACCCCCCTACCCAGGGCATCTGTCTACTTGGTGCTGGCTCCACGTTGGGCCAGTGGATGAGGTCATGTTGATTGGGCAAATAAGTAGATGACGACTCAGCTAGGTGGGGGCTTCCCCACCACTTGCCCGCGTCATAAAAGCCACTCCGTGGCCATAGTTTGCTAAACTAACGAGTAATTTACACCCACGGCTGACTTAGCTGTTCGACATAGTCAGCACAACTCTGGGCAATCACGCCCATCCCGCTCAGTCAACTCCCATGACTTCCTCGACGTGGGCAACACCACGCCACGAGCAGGCAACCTGGAAGTGTCCTCGCACCAAACCAAGTCCAACAAGATGGACACCGACCTGTTGCAGCTCGCGTGCAACAAGACGCATTCAACGCCACCGTCCTTTGCTGGTGACATCGCGCCCGTCCTATCACAGCCGCCCAATACGGCTCCACGCGAGGTACGAGTTCACGAGGTTGATCGCTCATCCTACGAGTCCTACTCCCACGAAATGTTGTTCAGCGAGCCAGAGATTGATCCTGACTGGCAGCCCTTCGTATATCTCTCTGATGGATCCGAGGACAACCAAACACAAACCACTCGTGAGACTACGACGACGCCGGTGGACCTCCTCGACGTACCCAACGAAGCGGATCCTCCAATGCCCGCACTCGACGATGGAGAAACAATCTTCCCACCCACTGCTCAGGATTTCTCACAGTTTGCTTACGGTACCTCCCAATACGAGGCTATTGATACAAGTATCCAACAGCAAATCCAAGAGGACCACACAGGGTACCACACTTTCGAACCGCAGGTTCTATGCGATGAACCCTTCGACCTCTGGACACGTCAACGCGTCTCCTTAGCTCTGGAAGCACAGCTGGAACCTACGGCACTTCCTGTGATTGGCCCACTCATGGCACCACCGTACCATCCGATTCAGCAACCTGACGATACACTCTTGCTTCATCAGTGTCAAGCTGCCACCGAGCATGAACAACAGCTCTTGGCCAATCTTACAGCGGAAGAAGCACCCGTCGAGGAGGCGCCCATTGCAGAGACACCCGCTGGTGATCCAGAGTCCCTAGCGCTGGATATTTCCCAACTCCAACTCGATCCTTCCTCTGATATTGGAGCCGATGTTGACACCGACCTCAGTTTCGCGACACCAAGCGAGGCTGACTTCCCGGAAGACCCCTCCATGCGCCACATCAAGGGCACCCATGGAATCCGCAAGGCTGTCAGACAACGCCAAGTGCTCAGACAGACTCCTGCTGCACTCGCACCTACAGCAATAACGACAACCTCTGCCGCATCCGCCCCCACGGTCTCCACAACAACACCGGTCTCTGACGGCACTCCAGACTCTTCTGGATTCGTTACTGTCACCTCTTCCAAACCTCGAGGACAAAAGGGCAGGACCAAGAAGAAGGAACCATCCACGACGCCCACAGGCACTCTTGGATCTATCTGCAACCTCATGTCACCACCTGGTTACAGACAGGATCTGCTCTCATCCAGCTCATCTGAATCCAGGAGCTCTGACAGTTTCTACCGCCCCTCCAATGTATCCCAACAGTCTCGCACTGGAGATGCATCCAACTCCTTCGCTGCTCTTCAAGACTCCGATGACGAGCAGGATTTTCATCAGGCCGGAACACGCTAAGCCAATGTGGTCCACAGGCCTCTTCACAAACGGCTATTGCCATACCTTCCGGGGTACACTGTCACACCCCTCCTTCGGCGGTACCTCCCGATGCAGATGACAACACTCGTTCCCTATACCGATACGCAGTTCAGACTACTGTGGTTCAGCATAAGAACGATCGTGGTTCCCTTGTTGATAGGGGAGCCAACGGCGGGATCCTTGGTAAGGATGCTCGCATCACGGTTACACACCAACGGCAGGTTGATGTCACTGGCATTGACAACCATGAAATGAATGGCCTGAAGATCGTTGACGGCGTTGGTAAAGTCACCTCACACCGAGGTCCCATCATAGTTGTGCTCCGCCAATATGCCTACCATGGTATCAACCGTACCATCCATGCATCTGGTCAGATCGAGCACTACAAAAACCGCGTAGATGATCGATCCCTCCTATGTGGTGGCAGGCAATGCATCCACACCAACGATGGCTTCATCATTCCTCTGGATATTGTCAATGGGCTTCCGTACATGCGAATGTGCCCTCCTTTTGACAAAGAACTTGAGACACTCACCCATGTCATTCTGACATCTGGCGAGTTATGGGATCCCAAGGTTCTCGACTTCAGACACAGTGATCATGACGACTGGTACAACCGTATCAAACTCGAAGATGATACACCGCCCAACTATGCTTTCGATTCACAAGGGCATTACAACCACTTTGCACCCCCCAAAGGCGCTGACAAGGGACCAAACCAAGGAAAACACAAGAAGGAGAAAAAGAAGGGACCCCAGCCGAACAATCAAGCGACCAAACCCAAACCAGCACACCCAGAGCAATCCAACGCAAAATCCCCAGAGAAAACACCAAGGCGGCGCCGAATTAAAAGAAACAAGGACTCACCCAACCCAACGGAAAAATCACCAACATCCGACCCCACACCCAAGGCAATGAAAGCAGGGGGAGAGCCTATGCAACATGGTGCCCCCCAGAACGAAGGTGACGACATCATGGCAACACCCCCAGACCTAACGAGACATGCAGGAACCCACCAGACCACGGCCAAGCACAAGATCACGCCAGGAAACGAAGAAACACCTGACACCGGACTGCCCACCAACAACTTCCTGCCACACAACCCAGAAACTGAAATCCAGTTCGAAAACATCCCCACGGATGACCACACCACAGCCAGAGCCACCCGCCGACCTGAAGCTGCAGCAAGTTCATCCAGCTCCACAAGCTGCAGTACAAACCAACCAGGCGAACCGGCAGTCAATGTCGACCAAGACGAAACCACTGAAACAGATGACGACTCACACCGGGAGACACCAAAGACTCCCAAGTCAGTCAGCATCTACGAGGTAGACGGCGAGGATGACAGGACTGCCGCCCTGCCTAAGGCCGCCCAAGAAGATGCACAACTGACGGAATATCCCAAGAAGCAAGCAGGAAGCAAAACCAGACCAGACAAGACAACTGATGACCCACCAGAGACTCTGCCAGAGAAACCCACACCAGAACCCGACAAGGACAAGCCACAAAAGAAGGCAGAGACGGCCAAACAAGACAATGATGAAGCGGCCACACAAGTCACACAGGAAATGATCCGGAGGAACCTGTGCATCATAGGCGACCCTACACCGACCACCAAAATATGGTACGGCACTGGATCACGACTGAACATCAACCTTCTCCAGCCCTTCAATACTTGCGACATTGCCAGAGGAGGAAGCGATAGAAATGTCTCGGCAGTACTACGATTGATGGAAGCCTCCGAATTTGGCAAAAAAGAGATGTGCATGATGGATACAAAGGGGACACCAGTGAAGGACGGACAAGGACGGACCAAGGTCACCCCAGCACACGAATGGAGCATGAGCATGTTACACGAAGTCATGACCAAGGCGTACACAGGGAAAACAGCCGATACATACCACTTCGAACACAAAATTGATAAAACACAGACAATGAAACTGGGACTCCGTCTAGCACTCACGGACCCATCAGCCTCCCCCCAATGGGACGCTGACAAGAAACGCTTTATCAACCCCAACATCACCGACAGACTCATCACCATCATGCACGAGATCATGGGCTCTGCCTACAGGCTCAAGAAGAAGCCCAAAGAACCCGCCACGGGCAAGAAAACAGGTGCTGCCACGGCCCTCAAACGGAAAGGCAAACCAAAGACCAACAGCGAAGACACCAAGGAGACAGACCAGAAGGAAGACCCAGAAGTCTTTGACAAACCCCCACGTGGCAAACCCCAGTACAAGACATACTTCACTGTGACGATGCCCAGCCACGCAGCCATCTCCTCTGACAGAAAGCTTGGCGGGAAGCAACGATCAGAGCTATCACAGCAGCACACTGCCTTGTTCTTAAGGCAACTGTACAGGACCGACCCCACATCTACTGCGGGGAGATATGACTCCTCAGAGAACGGTGTCAAATGTGTGCCATGGATACACGCGTCATCCGCCGCCCAGAACCTCCCAAAAGGTATCGCCAAATTCCGAGCCTACTACAATGGGCACTACTTCCGAATGGA